GAAGCCGGCGCGACGCGACGCGACGCGACGCGACGCGACGCGCGAGGGAAGGGCGAATCGTTGACCGAAAAAAAAAAAAAAAAGAGAGAGAGAGGAGGAACAGAGGAAAAAATCACACGAGCGCGCGATGGGAAACGTCATCTCGGGTAAACTTCATCCCGTATCGATCTATCGCTGAATGTCAACTAACGAACACTACTATAGGCACGTATCCATTACTAAACAAATCACGAACGCCGTCCGGCCGACCGTGCTTCTGTAAGCTCCGCCACTGGGCGCTGGATAATTAAAGCTGCGAGGCACATTTGATCGAGTTTCGGTCGCTCCGTCCGACAGACCGATTGTTCTCCATTTTAATTTTTTTCGGAAAATTGGAAAAGGAATTCTCCCCCGCTCTCGCCGTGTGTATGTGTGTGCTTTTTTTTTCTCTACCACCCGCGCGGACATAGATGCGCCTGTGCATGCGCCATGACCGGGCGAAAATTGGAAATTGATTTCGAACGGAATTCCGTGCGATATGTCGAGCACGTACCGAACGATATTGAAATTTCGCGCCTACAAAATAGTTCCTCGGTTGTACCTTCGCCGGGGACTCATCAGAATGTCATTCGCTCGGATATAGGTCAGAGACTGCGATGCAAATGGCGCGGGGGTATTAGACGAGGCGCGGCGCGGCGAGGCGAGACGAGGAGCGGGAACGTTGTCGATCATTCTTATCATTATTCTTATTCGTCATCGCGTCGGGTCAGTTCTGCATTGAATTACGCGCCAGCTTGACGCTCATTCCGCAAAGTCTCGACGCAAATTATCCCCGGCTATAGTATGCAAATGGCCGCGTCGGTTGAATGCGTCTCGATAAAAACGTCCGGTTCGGAAATACAAATGCATGTCCTACGCGTGCTTGATAAATCGCATCGACGGGCTCGCATGCGAATGGCCGCGACAGCCCTTTGAAGAAATATGACTAGCAGCGGCTTCAGGACAATGAAGTCGTTCGAATATCTGCCGTAAGGGCGGCGTGTGTATTTTGGATACAGCTGGGAGCGTTTTGTCGAGGAGTAATCGCGACCGAGGAGCAAAGGAAGAGAGAGAGAGAGAGAGAGAGAGAGAGAGAGAAAGGGAAGAAAACGATGGAAACGCATCTAACGACGACTTGGGCGACGCGCGCGGAGGAAGGTCGGTGTGATTCCAGTATTTCCAGTATTTCGGGTGTCCCGCGGCGCGCCGACTCGATCGCCAAATCGAACTACTTCATTAGCGGCGAGCCGTAATGACGATAACGCGTTTCGGCCGTGGATCGTGGACAATTAATAAAGAGCCGCGTATCGTGGACTTGCCACCGGATTGCGCCCGAGGCTAGTTAGGAGGACGAAAATATCGGCTGTCGAGCGGTATAATTTAGAAGCGGCAGCGGTGCACCCGTCGGAATACACACGTTTCTACATACTTTGAGGATCAAACGAGAATACGATTCCATCTCGTGCCCCATTCTCTCTGCCCAACACCACCTGGCCCGCGAGCGACGAGCGAGCGAGCGAGCGAGCGAAAATTCGCCGAATGAGAATCTTTCCATAAATGCGCGTTCGTCGACGACAAATATATCGAGACCCGTTCGAGGCTCATTCGATCGACTTTCGCTCGGTCGCTCCGTCCGATTGTCCTCTGTCTGAATTCTTTTTCTTTCCGGAAAATTAGGAAGGGGATTCTCTTTCGCTTTTGCGATGCGCGCGCGTGTGTTCATGAATGTTTTTGAAATTGTTGTCGACAAGTTCTGTTCTTACGTAAATAAATCCCGATAAATTATCCCATCGCCAAGTTGGACACAATGGGTCTCTCTCTCTCTCTCTCTCTCTCTCTCTCTCTCTCTCTCTCGCTGTGTACGCATGTACACATTCTCAGCTTCTACCTAGGAACGGATCCGGCCCCCGTTTCTATCCTGTCAAACATTCCCACGCTTAATGCACACCAGCGCGCCCGAGGAAGCGCACGCGGTGTCACTTTAATAAAACGGGAGCAACGAGGTCCTTCCACCTTCCGTCGTCGGCCACGACGGGGGATGTCTCTGACCGTTTTCGTGCGCCGCGTTGACGTACATAGTCAGCGCGCGTCCTGTTTGCGCTCCTCGACGGCCTTTCATCGATATTTGCTCTCGTGGGCCTTGCGGGCCTCGGGATTGCCCTCGAAGACATCTCGAAGGGCCGTGACTCGGCAGTGTCTCGTTTTTGTTTGCCCCACGCCGGGCTTTCCCGACAAAGGGCCCGGTGCTTCGTCCTCCCGCTACTCCGGCACGCCGGGATTATACTCGAGAGGATTCCCGATTGTTTACGCTAATTTCTGTGCTTTCTTTCGCATCTGCGGGCGCCCTCGCTCCAAGTAGAGAGTACCCGAAGAGGGCTGCGAAAATTAGGGTTAAAAGCTAAAGTCACGTCTCGAGATGGCTCTCTAGACCTCTGGCCCTACGGCTGCGGGGTTGACGATTTCGTCGTCGTCGTTTTGACCGACTCGAGTGCGGAAAAGCCGTCGCGTGTGGCAAAGAGGTAACAACGAACTCGTTCTCTCTCTCTCTCTCTTGGAAGGTATTACAACACCCTACGCAAGAGGCGATCCGAATCTGACTTTTCATCCCGGTCTGTTTTGTCTCGGAGCAAGACTTTGAGATATTATCGTTTTAATTTAACGTTCCTGGTTATAAAGTAAGTAAACTTGGTAGGATCTAGGATTTCGGCATTTTTCCGTGAATTTGATGCTTATGTTAAATTTACGACTCGCGGATGCGTAAACTCACGGGACGAGTAGCGTTTACTCGAAACGCTCCGTGTATTCTCTCGCGTGTGGTTCGATAGGACGGCGCGACGATTGGATGATTCGAAGATGATGATGATGACACGCGACAAAGACGCTGCATCGGGTGCAGTGAATTTGCAACTTGTCGGAAATCGACAATAATGCTGCCGCGCAATTTGCGCGTACGCATCGATTTTCCTTCTCAGACCTCGTATGCGCACTCGAGGGCCGGAGGATCCACGCGCCGTCCGCTCTGTCAGGGAATAATGATACCTCGCGTTACTTAACAAGTGTACTCCACCGTAGCCGTATGAGATCGCTTTTATAGACTCGCGCTTTGAGGTAGCGTGAAAAACACGTAATCCTTCAAAGGACCCTCCCGACCAGATCTTTCGTATATCTGGAAAGGGTTGGCCCAGGTGAAAAGGACCGTGGTCTATTAGCCGCCGAGGAAGGGGTTCGGTCGATTTTTTTTTTTCGAGAGGCATTTTCTGGGTTCGTGCACAAACTGGATCCGAGCACTCCACGCACCGAGACAGACAGCGAGCGACAGAACGACGGAGAGAGGGAAAGAAGGAGAGAGAGAGAGAGAGAGAGGGGGGGGAAGAGAAAGAGAGAGAAAGAGAGAGAGTCCTTAAGAGCGGAAGACGCATGCCCGCTGCCCGCGTCGTACGATGCACGTGAACCATGCATAATGTCGTGGCCACATTACCTTTCGGCGACAATCTGCCCGCTGCTGTCTGTCTTTCCCTCTCGCTCTCTTTCCATCCAGCCCTTCTCGCTCGATCCCTTCGCCCACCAGCGTATTCATCTCGTTCGCTCTCTCGCGAGTTCTCACTCGTCCCCCTCACTCGCCCTTCATCTCGCTCTCTCTCTTCCTTTCTTCAGCCGACGCATAAACGCGTTTACGCGAGTGTTTACGAAAAAGAGAGCGGGAGAAACGTCGAGGAGAAGAAGAGAGAGAGAGAGAGAGAGAGAGAGAGAGAGGGGGGGGAGGGGGGAGAAAGAGAGAAAGAGAAAGGATACTAGAAGGAAGGAAGAGAAGGGAAGAGAGTGGTCTTAACAAAGGTCGGTCTGCCACGCACAGCGCGACGACAGCCAGCCATTGACATCGGTGGGCTCTGGGTAAGGAGGACTAGATTTCACGAGCCAACGATGCAAGATCCTTCAAAGGACGCCGACGGGTTGCCGCAAAAAGGATTCGCAAAAAAGAAAAAAGGAGGTCCCAGGTCCGGGAGAAAGAGACAGAGAACCGTGCGCCGTGGACGCAGAAAGGGGGCAGTCTTCCTTAGTTAATACTGGCTTCCGTGCGCCCTCTTCGTCGGAGAGAGAAAAGACACGAGAGAGAGAGAGAGAGAGAGAGAGAGAGAGAGAGAGGGAGAGAGAGAGAGAGAGCGCGAGCGAGCGAAGGGGGCCAAGGGGGCAGGCGGTCGAGGCTAATAGAGAGGAAGAGGATGAATAAGGGAGTGCGAGGCCGTGCTTGTCGGAGGTTTGGGTTCGAAGGGCGGGGAGGTAGGGAAAGAGGGCAAAACTACTTGACGGCGAAATCCATCGCGATAACTTAATCCCAGGATTACATAGCGGTAAGAATCCGCGCGCGGAAATCCGATCCAGGCGCGCGCGCCTGACAGCGTCTCCTTCGGGATGCCGTTTTCAAGGTGCGCGACTGCTCCGTTTCCGGTTTCTCTCGGTCCCGATCTCTCGAGGCTCTCTCGCCGGCCTCTTCGCTGCTGAGCCCGGCCGATTAACGCCGACAGAATGATTATTACTCTTATTATTATTCGAACGCGGGGCAGCCGAAAGCAGTCGAGCAGCTCGCTAACCAGCTCGAAGCTCTCTTGCGGATCGCTAATTGCGCGCAGCGCGCGTTTTGTGCAAAAATATCAGGTTTCGATGATATTTCAGTTTCGGGGTAACTCTAGCTGCAGCGTGCGCCATGGAGAGACTCTCTCGCGAGATGTGTCGCTTCAATTCTACACGTTGCATCCACCGATCGTCATCGTCATTGCGGGGAAATTGGCCCGCGTGCGAAATCCGCGATCTCGCGTCTCTTGCATGCATATTCGCGATCGCGGTCGTTTCGCCGATTTAGATCAGAGCCTGCCTGCGCGCGTGCGCGCCTTCAGGCAGGCTCTCCGAGTTAGCGATTAATTGCAAACTAAAGGAGCAAGCTTAGTGGCTAGTAAGTAAGTAATTGTTTGGTTGGCGTTACGTACAGTACTTACAAAGCCGTGCTTGTCGCTGATGTTGTTGGTGAGCTTGAGTTTGTGGAAGCTCACGACCTTCTGCATCCACTGCTCGCCGCTACTCGGCGAGTCCGGATGTATGTACATCCTCTTCGGCATTTCCGGATCCGCCTTGCCCGCTACCATCCACCTACTGCTCGCAACACACGAATGATGCATTATAGAAGGCTGCGCGACGGCCGCTGCCGCGTGAAACGTGCCTCTGCGACGACGAGGACCGCGTGGCCGCGCGGTCCTCGTCGTCACTCGGGGGGGGCGGGGGGGGGGCCTGGGGGGGCACTCGAATCGTCGGGAGCGATTAGAAACGCAGACCGCAAGGAACGAATTTTGTCCGGTGGGCTGTAATTTATCTCAACGCTGGCTCTTTATCTTGCAGTTTAGTTTAGCTTCCGCGCGCGCGCGCGCGCGCGCGTCCCGGGAGAAAAATTCTACGCGGAGAGAAAGAACTCTCCGCGTCGGGCGCGCAATCGAATTGTCTGCTCCCAGAAGGACCAGACGAAGACTCGCTCGCGTCAGAGACTGAAGGACCCCTTCGGGAGATTTCCACTCGGAGCCAATTGCTGCTCTGTTATCTCGATCGATCTTAACGCGGCTGAATGTCCAAACGAACGTTTTCGCGCCCGCTGTTATTAACTTCTTTTCGCGGCCTTCGTTCACAGTTGCGAACAGAATTATTTTTTCCCGTCTACGAAGGATATTTTTCAGAACCATGTACCCTCTGCTTATCCGATATAATATGCATCCGTATAGATCAGATTGTGACTCGTCCCCCCTCTGGCTGAATTTTTCACCCCGCGTCTTATTACATCTCTAGACTTTCTCTCTCTGTCTCTTTCTCTCTCTCTCTCTCTCTCTTTCTTTTTCTTTCCCTCCTTTTCTTTCTCAGTCGGTTTGAATCGAGGAGGAGCTGACCGTGCTTCCGATAATCAAGCAGATCCTAACAATTTCCTCGCGAGGTAATGGCAACCTCCCCGCCCATGCATCTTCCCAACACGCAAGTGACCAAGCCAGCGATGATCCGGAACGAGCCGAAAGGAGGATCGAAGTGACCCTGTTCCTCGTTGGCTCGGATAGTTTCCCCGGCCGCGAGCGAGCGTCAATCGGCCGCGATTGTTGTCTTTTAAGGGAGGCGTGTCCGCGCCGTTCGTAGTATTCCTCATCGTCGCAGGTGGGTCGAAATCTCGAGAGCGCGAGGGGCCGTAGGAAGAACTCGTCCGACGAGTTCCAAAGTGGCTGCGGTCGCCGGCGTGATGTAATCGTTCATTGTGGTCTGCGTTTCGATTGTGTCCGAGCGCCGGTGTCCGAGATGCCTCGCGAGAGAGAGAAAGAGAGAGAGAGAGAGAGAGAGAGAGAGAGTGAGTTTAGCCGAGCCGTGGAAGCCGTGAAGGCGCTAATCGCGGCCTTCCCTCCGTCGGCGTTCTTCTGACTCTCGACGTCTGCCGCGGTGCAGCTTGGCGCGAAAGATGCGGGAAAACAAGATCGCCCTTCGGCAAGTGAAACGGCTCGGAGGAGAAGTCGCTCCGAAGTTGAACGAAATCGCGAGGAGCACGCGGGTGATCGCGGGAGACCGGCGCGACGTCTCGGACTTGAGGCGATCTTTGCAACACGCGACGTAATTACCAAAAATATAGCGGCGCGGAGATTTGCGAGGCGTCTCGGTCTAGCGAATGTGAAGGCTTGCGATCCCCATACAAGTCGAAATAATTTCCCATGGGTGTACGTGTAACCCTCCTATGCGGCGACTTCTACGACGAGATTAAACATTCATGGTCTGTCTTTTTTTTTCTTTTTTTTTTTTTCTTCCTTTTGACATCGTCTCATTCGCGGCACGACGACGATATATGCCGATATAGGAGGATTTATTTGATAAGTAAACACGTGGGAAAATCAGCGCTCGGCACACCCGAACGTGATCGATTTCTCGCGCGAGAGAAGAGACAAGCGCGGGGATCGGGCGCCGCACTTTTGCACACGGCGGGGGAGGGGTAGGTGTGTGGGGGGGGGGTTAGATGGGCTAACCGATTCCGCGGACAATCGCGATGCAAAACGGGCATGCAGGAGCATTACGAGCGAATTATTTTCGACGAGTATGAGGAATTGTTCGCAGCGCACGCTCCACACTTATTTCAGGAGAGGCTCTTGGCGGAGATAACAAGATAACGTGTTTCGCGATCAAAGATCGATCCAGGATCATCGCTTCGTAAAAAACGTGATCTCCAAACTCGCGACTCGATTTTTTAGCAAGGTCGAGCAAGAGATACGCGCTCGCTCGATCGAAAGACGCGTCGTCTGAGCGAGCGGACGAGCGCGAGACAGCGCGACGACTTTGAGTCGTAATAATAAACTTTGAGTCGGCAAGACAGGAAAGAATGAGCCAGGATCGCTCTGATCGCGGAGGGTCAGGGGTATCACCTGCTGTGAAATTTATATCGGCATTCGTCCGATGCCACGACGTCCATTAGAAGTATGTAGCTAGCCTGCTTGTCTAATCCGGACACCCTCACTTTATACGCGGGAAACATGCGTCTGCGAACAATTTTGCAATCGCAAAAAAAGACAAACACAGCATACGTTAGTTCTATCTCGTTCACCGCTGAGTTTCCTCGTCGAGTTTTCCCACGGGAAAATGGGAATCGCACGCGCGCGCGCGCGCGCCAAATTTACACTTGGCGCATTACGAGAAGCGCTGCTTTCTCTCTCGTCTGCTGAAGCGGACAGTCGTCGGTCTTAAGGATCTCCGTGGCGGATTAATCCCCGTCGAAAAGATCGCTTTGTACGCTCGTCGAGTCGAGTACTCGAGAGAGAAGAAAGGAACGAGATATTAAAAAAATCGAACGAACGAGACATCGCGAGGAGGAGGAGGAGGAGGAGGAGGAGGAGGAGGAGGAGGAGGAGGAGGAGGAAAGCAAGTATCAAGATCGCAGGGCGCGCTGATGCGTTTTGCGTGCGCGGCGTAACGCGGTCGCGGGGAAAAGCCTCGGGAGATCGTTAAGACGCAGACTGTCCGCGACGATTATATTTTTACGAGTGCCTTCGCTCTCTCCCTACACCCCGCAAAACCTCTACCTGTTGTGGAACTTGTATCTGTAGTCGTCGGCGGCAACGATGTCCAGCAGAAGGATGTACTTGGCCTTGGCGTCCAGACCGGAAACTCGGAACTTCATCTGAGGAAACATCTGCCTAGACCCCCGATCAACATGTACAGTTCGATTAGATAGTTTGCTCGATTGAAGCGGACTCATTTATAGACTATCATGCAACTGTCACTAGATTCGTATCTCTCTCGCTCCCGTGCGTGCTCGGTCTCGCTAATTAAAAGGACATTCCGTCCTCGCATATGGCGCTGAAAGCAAACTCGCGTCGGCCTCTCGGGAGATCAGGAGGATACATTTTCAAGTTGAGCGTGTTAAATATTAACAAACAATCCCCCGTGTCTCTCCGCTCGAGTACGACGGCGCGGCGGTCGAGGACGATTCGCGACGAGCTCGTCGTCTTGCTTCTCGCGCGAAATCGCGAGCCGCCCGCGCGCGCGCGCGCTCTCGTCGCGAGTCACGTCGACGACACCTGGTAGAATCCTGAAAGGTTGGAATAGAAACGTGCACGAGTCAATCCCGGCCGCTGTCAGCCGGTGGACGCGCGCTGGAGGCTTCCGAGGCGCGTTCCCTGGAATAAAAAGCGGACCTCGTTCTCCCGCGCGAGCCAGAAACCGACGGCTGCGGCGCGTCGGCCCGGCAGCGAAGCGAGGAACGTACGTGGGACACTCGTCGCTTTCGTCGAAGAATTATATTCACCCGGCGAAGAAGAGACACACGAGACACACATTCACTCACACACACACACACACACAAGCGCGCGCGCGCGCTTACACCTGCGCGGCGGAGACGAGGCGCCGCGCGCGCGAGAGGGAGCCTGGAAAATCGCGGCTCGCGTTTTTCGGACGAAACGCGAGATCCGCCGTGTAACTCGGCGCTTCTGATGAAAATTCCGCGCGACCGCATTTTTCGCGGCCGAACCTCGGAATTCCGCGCGAGGGATCCCGCGCCGCCGGACAGCCGCATTATATCCCGCACGCGCTAATCACGAGGCGGAAAAAGGATGCGACTCGGTCGTGCGCGCTGATACTCTTCCAGTAAAGTCACACACGCGGAATATTGCTCCGGAGGATATCAACACTCAAAGTGTATCGTATTAACGTGTCCAGCTAGGATAGAATAATCTGCTTGGCGAGTTTTTTGCTCCACGTCGTCTCCCTCTCACATGCTCCTCTCGAAAGCGCTCTCGATATCCGACCGATTCCCGTAAATATAACTTCGTCTCGCGTGTTTCTCCCAAGTTTCATCGCGATTAGTGTAGTTTCCGGAATATTTAAAAACGCCGGTTACCGTACCTTCCAGCTAATGAGCGCATCTCGTCCATAAGCAGTTTCTCACGACCAAATTATCGAGGAAGATTCCATTACCCTAATTAGGCGATATAAATTCGTCGACGTTTGACGGGGGGGGGCGCATTAATAGGCCAAAACGTGTTGCTCCGGGACGATGGTATGTGACAGATAAAACGTCCCGTTACGTCCTGTATATACGAGCTATCAAGTGGCCAGTCGCTATCGATAACGAACAATGAGCGCATCTAATCCTCTGCCCTCCTTCCGCCTCTCGTGTCACGGAGGACGAGAATGCACCTGTTCGAGCTGCGGTAACCTTTCAACGAATCGCCCTGCGTCCCCCTCTCCCCCCCCCCGACGAAATTATTTACATCGTGAAGATCGAGCGTCGAAAGCCACATATCGCGCGTATTTCGGCGCGTGTTTCGAAACAGAAAAAAATATACATATAAAAAGCGGGATGAAAGAGCGCGTGAGAAATATATGCGAGCGATCGATGACGCGATGACCGTAGATTTACATTTAATTAAGAGGCCCGACGAAATCTCTCGACGCAGCGTCGCGTGGCGTTTTGCCGGAGACGACGCCGGATGCATCGATCAAAGCCGGCCGTCGAAAAGAGATCGGTCGATCGCCTCGGACCGGCGCGGCGAGGGGAGGCAAGCAAAGGTAGCGGGATTTCAAGTGGCATCTGCCTACTGTCCGTCGAGCGGGAGAGCGACGACTCGTCTCGTTGTCGACCGTTTCGGCCGCGAGCATGGAAAGACAGGATCAGTTTCTCCGGCGGCGGCGGCGGCGGCGGCGGCGCATTCGCTCGCGATAAACGAGACGCCGTTCACATTCACGTCGCGGAGGACACTAAGCCGGATTATCCGCTCTATGTGAGCCAAAATATCCCGCGGAGGGAGGACGCGAGGGAATCCTCTAACGAGCGTGGCGAGCGAGAGGCTGTCTGCGCGTCGCGAATGCTACGCCATGGACTTTACATATTTTTCTACGTGTTTTTCTTCTTTTTTTTTTTTTTTTTTTTTTTTTCTTTGGCGTTTTTATCTGCCAAGTGGACGAGACGCGACCGGCCGGTTACATAATGCCGATGCGCCGGGAAGCACTCTGTCGTTCTGTGCGCTGTTGAACACAGGAGCGATTGTACGCGGATGCTCCCATGATCCAGCCGCGCGTAATATATTTTATGCTTTAGTAAAGTTTTAATCACGATTCATCGAGTCGGCGCTCGATGAAGTTTTGCTCGCGTTCCAAAGGTCAGCAAGCGAATCGCGAAGTCGCGATACGTCGCAATACGCGCTGACGTAGAGGAGGTGAGGTCATTTTATATAATATTAAATAATAAAATTATATCCAAGAGCGGCCGAATATAATCCGACGACGCTCGCTAATCGCGCGAGCATAAAAAAAGGAGAACGACGGAGGAAAGAAAGAACGCGGAGACGCGGAGAGACTGCACTTCCAAAATTAGCGCGAGCGTCACGACGCTTAATTGATTGGCGCGCATGAAAATTAATCGGACGTAAGTGCGTCACCGTCTCTGTTTTCGGTCGATTGAGAAATCACCTCGAGACGTGTAAACAGCCGTTTCGCCCGTAATATATATTCATGCGGCCGGAATTCGTTATCGCAACGAGAGAGGCGCGCGCATTGGCGATGCCAGATTTTGAAAGTGGAACAATCTGGAGACAGTCTCGAAGAAAGGAGAACGACACTAGAGAAATGCAGTTTACAGAAATCTATTTTTTCCTAACGCGTGTATAAAGAAAATTTTTCATAAATCCCGGACATTGCCGGCGATATGTGGACGTCTGGGAAATCCCGATCGCGACGACACTCGCGGAATCCGAACGCTCTCGGCGAGCGAACCTCCGATTTTCCCAGGGCAGCGCGCCCGTTGCGCGTGCACGCACGCACGCACGCACGCACGCACGCGCGCGCTCGGCGAGATCTCCTCGGAATAACAAAAAAAAAGAAGAAAGCACGGGGCGTTATCGGTTTAAATCAGACCGAAGGTTAAGATCTTTCCGCTGCGCTTGCTTGCAGCCGAGTCGTCGCGTCGGTCGGTCGCGGCTCCAATAACTCGCGACAGCGGCGCGTCGTCGATTTCCCGCGACGCGACCCTTCTTCCGTCGGTCATAACTCCGACCGGTCTCGCGTAGCAGCCGCTAATGAGCGACAATTCGAGTAAACAAATTATGACCGGCCGTCGGCGTTGTCGCCGTACGAGAATGCTGAAAGCTGTAAATCGTGCGATAACGCGTCTTTGAGCGCCGCTCATTCTCTCTCTCTCATTCTCTCTCTCTCTCTCTCTCTCTCTCTCTCTCTCTCTCTCTCTCTCTCTCTCTCTCTCTCTCTCTGTCCCTTTCTCTCTCGTCCCCACAGCTTCGTCTTCCATTCCCATTGAGTCGGGCAGTGCGCGAGCATATCATCGCTGAAAACTATAACTCGAAAACGGCGCGATAAGGGACGCCCGGCGCCGATCGACAACAGCTGCTCGAACGACCGGGTGACGTACGACCGCTATATTTTCCCGGACACGAATTCGAGACGCTACCGACGTTCCCCCCCCCCCCCCCGCCGCTCATTACGTGTCGCTCCAGCCAGCGCCAAGTGGCGCGTGTTCTTTTATATGATTTTTATTGCCCTACCGCTTTCTACGTAACAAGCCTACGCGAGAATGCGAGTCTTATTAACTATATATAGATATATCTCGATGTTCATTAATGCGCCGGGATCAAGCGGATTTTTAAACAGATCTCGCCCGAGTGTCGCTGCTTTCATTTGACGTGTTAGGACTAGCGAATAGTCGAATAAGAATTCCAGCTGTTCGAATCAGGGAGCGGTGTGTGACACGATCGGCCGACCCGAGGAGAAAAAAATTCAAGACAAAACGCCTCTTCGTAAAGGAAAGGGGTGGAACCCACGTGACATTCCTCAAGAGGCGAGGAATCGTCATCGAGCGGCGCGCTCGGCTTTAACGACCGCACAGATTACGGGAAAAGGCTCCGGAGAAAGGCGACGGCGCGATCGAAACCCTACGCGGCAGCGGCCGCAGTCATCGGAGATATTTATCGGCAACGGAATGACCGTATCCTCATTACGGTTTATGTTACTGTCGGGAAGAACAAGAAATTAGGTGCCAGATCGGACCACGCCGCGTTGTCGGCGCCGCGCGCCACTGTCCACGTCGGCGCAATTATACTACAAAATTAGATCGTAAAAGGAACGAGTTCGGACGCGCGATAAATCGTATTCGAGGAAATTAATATATATGATGTAGGACTCACGCACGCACGCACGCACACACGCACACATATTAATGCACGCACGCGCGCGCGCGCGCGCGCGCGTTCGTACGACCCATGTCGATCGAGTGGTACTTCTTTTGTATCGGTTTTTTAATTTTGAAGCGCGATTGGTGACCGGTGAATATAGTCGGGATCACGTGATCTCTCGATGTTAATGAGGCGGTAATCCTTTCGTGTAATTTCCGAGTAGCGAAATTTGCGAGCGCGGCTCAAACGACCCGTGATTTTCTGCGTCGAGGGAAAAAATATTTAAAGAATGAAAGACTTTTTCCCGGTGGGTACTAATAACATATTTTTTCCAAGTGCAAATTCCTTTATTCGGGTAGAACAATCGCTTTCACGCGTAGGAAGTTACGGTTCCAACAAAATGTCCCCTCATATCTGAAAAAAGTGTTTCACGTCGCACGTGTTATTAATTATCCACCGAATAAATATTTGTTATTTTTCATATATTTTTACTCTCCGCGCGTAAGAGTGATAAT